TGAGAAGACAATGTTGCGAACCCCTATTCGTCGGACAATCATAAATACGTTCCAAACACAACATCATATACCCATTGATCCAACAAACACCACCAAATCGCGATTCGCAGTGAGAAATGAGGGTTCTTGACCTATGATTGTCATTGATCCCATAACATCGGCGAGCTAATGTAACGCCCCAAAATAATCCCACAAATCCTTTACATCAATTTTGCTTCCAAATATAAAATAATAATAACCATGTTCCTTTACATAATTCCGAATGTTATACAATAGTAATCTCACATGCGATTATACATTCATTTGACGAAATAGTACATGAATGATACATAGCCACATATATTCATTAATTACAACCATTCTCCATTCTCTATATCAAGATCTCCATGGTTTATATAAGAAATCCACATGCAAATATACATTATATGATAAGAAAACACCTGAATCTATAGCATGTGAAACATATAGTCTCAAAAATAAAGATAAAATAAGAGAAACGCCCTTACGGGCTTACATCTTCCAAGGCAATAGCCTGGTTACACAAAATGGTCTCTCGGACCCATACACAGCTTTACAAAAATTCACACTAAATAAAGAGCAATCTACTCTTCACAAGAACATATCCACGCCCTCAATTCGGCAGAATCATAACATCTTTACCTCCACCAAAATTCTATAGGGGTGAGCATAAAGCCCAGCAGAGATTCCTCACAAAGAATATACAGTTATGTCAATTTTCACAACATTAAAATGCATAAGAATGCCATGCAAGTGCCAATGACGAAGGAAAATTTTATTTTAATGCACTATTTCAAAATCACCGTGTTCTCAATAATATTTTGTAATCTCATCAATTTCAAACTTCCAATATTTAAATCAATAGGGGTGGTAAATACAACACTGATAATCCATAGGCTGGTGTCTGCAAGTAGACTCTACGAGTACTACCAAACCGTCATTTTTACGGGTATTAACCGGAAGTCTCGACATCTATCTGCGCGATTTTCTGGTCTTTCACCATGGACACTCAGGCCAATTTATCAAAGTCATCTACACCCCTTAACTAGACTTACCAACGTATTTACCCCTTTCACATTTTCGTTAGTTCTCATTACAGTATAATCCTTCTCATGTAAACATGATAAGAATGCAATAATGGAAGCAATTTATTTCATGCACATTGATGATAATATATCAAATGAGAACATGATGCAATAGTTAATATCTCGTAACATCTCTTCATTTTCAAATGTCTCCACGATAATGCCAACAATCACTGTCAAGGTGTGCAATAATGACAATAAAATAATTGAGAACATGATGCGATAACTACTAACTCGTAGCATTCCTCTATATTCAAATTCATCTCTACAACAATATTCAACATCATATTTTCATTTCCTCCTTTCCACATTCTTCCACAAGATATCTATGTGTCCTCAACACATAGCTACAATTTCCCATTTCGCATAATAGTCATGTGTCTTCGACACACCACAACAATTCCTCAACAATAATCCATCATGACCAAACTTTCGATATGTCTAGCATGCCATCTTTCATTTCATTTCCCATTACATTACGATTAAGCATTTTCATATCATCAATGGTACTCAACAACTTACCATCGTATAACATTACAAGTTTAAGTGTTGGCAAAAATGTTAAGCTAGCATCTCATATCTCATACATGAAGTACATTATTATTTTGCTAAACATTTGATGAAACTCACTCCCACACCTCCTCATAACACAAGAAAATAAATAATCTCAAAGGCACTTCTTTATTTCAAAATCCCCAATTTCTAGGGTTTTTATAGAAAACAAACTTTTCTCATTTTCTAAGAGAAGCTCGATCTAGCCATTCTTTTTGATTTTAATAGAGGGACACCCTCAAGAATTAGTAAAAAGATAGAGATTTCAAACCCATATTCAAGACGCTCAACATTTTGAACCAAAATCTAAAATTAACACAAAACTTCAAGAATATTTTTAAATCAACATCCAAATAACAAAACTAGTATATATAACTCAAGGAATCCCTACCTCAAGCTTGTAGATGAATGGTGAGATGAAACCCTAGCCTCAAGGGTGAGAAAAACCTTGGATTTCCACCACCCAAGTGAAGCCCTAACCTTGGATCTTCAAGATTTAGAGGAAGATGATGAAGATCTTGAATCAAAAGTTTACAAAATCAAAGTGTTTTGAGGCTTGAGGAAGTTTTCTAGAGAGAAGGGGAAGAGAAATAGGGTTTAGAGTGAGAGGGAAATATGTATAATGAATAATATTTTCGAACCAAAAAGTTATAAAAAAACAAAGCTCAACTGCCCAGTTGGCCGCTCGTGCAGCCTTCCCCACCGCTCGTGCGGCCCACCTTGACCTCTCATGCGGCCCACTTCCCCCGCTCGTGCGGCCCATTTCAGAATGCAAAATTCTGGGTCTCAACCTCTACCGCTCGAGCGGCCTAGCCCACCGCTCGTGCGGCCCTTTCCCGCACGTGCGGCCTAGGGCCCCGCACGTGCGGCCTTGGCCCAGTCACCCAAAATTCCTGCTTTGCTCCCGGCACTCCGGACTCACCCGCGCACCCTCCGGAACAAGCGAAATTCAACACCAAAAGAAATAAGAACTGAAAAACCATTTCCGGACTTTTCAATCCGACGAAAATAAAAAAAAAAGAACGAAGTGAAGAAAGAAGGAAAGAAAAGGAAAACAAAGACCCGGTTGTTACAACTAACATCATCTATGGTCATGTTGTTTTGTGATGTTCCAGTATTGTGTTTGTTGCTGATGTTGCTGATGTCGATGATGTTGATGATGTTACTGGTGTTGATGATGTTGTTTTGTAATGTTCTAGTACTGTGGCCATGTTGTTTTGTGATGTCCCAAAATATAACATTATAAACCAAACACCAAACTGGAATGGTGAAACAACTTCCAAAAGAGTCCACGAAATCCCCTCCTACAAAATAGTAATGTTACAACATCCCTTAAACACACACACTATGACAAAATCAAAATGAAATCACAATATGGGAAAAAATGTAAACTCCATGCACAATATGTCAAAAACATATATCATACCAAAAATAAAAAGGATTAAATGGTTTTTTAAAAAAAAAAACACTCAAGACTAACTAGAGCAACATTTACCAAAATGGAATTTATGAGTAATTTTTCCTAGGGCAAAGGTATGACAAAAAAATAAAACAAAATAAAAAAATAAAAACTCAATTAATCACCAACTTTATTTAGATTAGATTTGAATGAGTTATAGATTTTCATAACTACATTGTTGCTGTCCCTAATCACAAACTTTTTAATTATATATATATATTTTTTATTTAAATGGGTAGATATACAAAAATATCTTGGTACAATTTTCTCTTATATTACAATTAAAAAATATTCTAAAATGAACATAAATAAATTTGTCTAAACCAAAATTTTTTAAAAAGTTTCGCTGTATACACAAGCTCAATGCGAGGGCTATCTATTATTAACAATAAATATCAGAATGCTTGGATTGTGACAATTCTTACTCAAGTTCTGACATGAATTAATACAAGTTAGTAAATTTTTTCCTTAGTCCCGACCAAATTTAAAATAGTTTTAAGGCTATAAAATTTTATGAACTTAAATTATTTAAGTTGGGCCAACCAAGTTGCACCTTGGCTAGGTCATAAGGTAAAGTAGACGGGACTCTAAATTTTATGTTAATAAATATCTTTATCATATATCTCAAAATTCAAAAATAAAAATAAATTTATAATTTAAAAATTCATAAAATATTAATATATATCGTTATTATATATAGTTAGTCGTGCATAGTATGGATGAAATGCTAGTTGTAGAATAATGGTGAAGGAAGTTCTTTGATCAAGTGAATCCCTCACATTGAGGCAAAAAAAATATTAGAATAATAATCTTCTATAGTTATACATAGTATTTTGTATATATCATAAATAAAATATATCTAATAATAATTTTCTCTTTCCTAGATATATGGTATAATATATATATTATAACAAAAGTTTATAAGAGTAAAATTGTTTATATAATACTTCTAATATAAGCAAAAGGACCTATGAGAATATAATTCATATGTATGGGACTAGGTGGAACACAAAATACTTTGTAAACTTATTAGTCTATAAGTCTTCTAAATGAAATTTATGAATAAATCTCTCTTCTTATTTCAATTTCTTCCAAACACTATCATTATAAGACCCAAAATCAAAGTATATTCTCCTTCAAGATTCGTATCAATCAAAGATCAATTATCAGCCAAAAAAAAATTTATTGATGAATATTCAAGCGATCAAAAAAGATACATAAATAAAGAGGGAAAATGAAAAAAGCATCACAGCAAGCCCACACCATCCCAACAAGGTTGGCACCTCGAAGGCTACCCGATCAGTAATGTTAGCAACACAAAATGAAACACAACCCTCTCACATGAGTTGGGTCCCACATGTGAGTCACACTTCTTGTGAGAGAGAGTTATGTTTCATTCTGTGTTTAGTTTCTATACACATAGATTTACTTGTCAAATATAACCAATGTTATGCAAATTAAACTCTTAGAATTATAAGACTCCAAAACAAAATTCATTCTCTTTCAAAATTCCGATCAATCAAACATAGCTAATGTTATATAAATTAAAATCTTAAAAAAATATAATTTTAGGTTAAATTTGTGGAACTCATATTTCCTCCGAATCTTATAAAAGACTAATATAATTTATCTTAAATATTTTTATTTCCAAAATAAGGAGAAAAAAAAAAAAAAAAAATCTCCCTTGAACTACAGATTAATTTTGCCACATAACCACACACCCCACACACCCTGTCATGTGTCATCTCCAACTATACAATCCCATGCAAAATGTAGAAGGACCGAAAAACATGTAAACGAATCCAAATCCAAATAAAAATTCAAATTGTTGTTTCCTATTTTGCCCTAGGAGTCTCGTGAAGTAGTAATGTTTTGTTTTGGTTTTCCTAATATGAAGAAATTCTCTTGAACTAGGCTTCTTCTTCTTCTTCTAGTATCCCCATACTATTATATATATACATATATCTTAAAATTTTTAAGCTTTTGCTCTCATTCTTACTTCCCAATTACTGGGTTTAGTATTGGAAGAGCTTCTCAGATTGTCGACGGAGCTCCGATTCACGAAGATAGTGCAGGGATGGAGGACGAGTATTTTGAAAGTGGTTATGAAGAAAACCAGGTCCCAAGGGATTGTGAGAATGGCGATGATAATGATAACGATAACGATGAATCTGATACATTTATCGACAGCCAGTTATGGCCTCAAAGCTACAGGTTATATTTTGTATATATATATGTGCGTGTGTGTGTGTGTGATTTATTGTTTTGTGATTGGGTTATCGGTCGTTAACAGTGATGACTCATTGACTTGTTTGCTGCTCATGCATGACCTGTTGTGATTGTGTTGTTATTAGTTGGGTGTTGGGCCTCTTTGGGCTCACCAGAAATCCACATCAATAATCTGAACCGTCTGATCCGTCTGATACGTAGGTCTGATACGTAGGGCTCGTCGAGTATTTCATCCCGGTGAAAAATCATATTGATTGGATATCAATAGTCACTTGATCAGATCATATTTGTGTTAACAATTTATTTTTGAAATTATTATTACCGTTGACACAAATTTGATGTGATCAAATGGCTAATGATATTCAATTAACATGATTTTTGTATGGATAAGGCACTCGATGAGATCCAAACAATAACGATTTGGATCATCGATGTGGACTTTGTAGTGGGCCCACAAAATCCAACAGCACGCTCCAGTCCTATTTCAGACTAGAGAGAAGACTCTGCCATTTGGTTATGATTCATAATTTTTTTGGTTTAGTTCTGAGTATTTTATTTTTAATTATGACTGAAAGTGAAAATGATATAGTTGTAACACTGTATATGATACACACCGTACACTTTTGTATTCTGAACCTTGATTTTGTTATATCAACTTCATGGATTGCAATTTTACAACAGGTAAGACAATCTATCTTTTAAAGTAGAAGATTTTTGAGATGTTGTGACGAATTTATGATGGTCTGGATGAATGTGATCAAGTAATTAATTGACTAAACTTTTAATCAACACTGTTTAAGATTACAACACTGCTGCCTAGCTCAAATTTGAGCTTGGCCCCGAATGGCTTGAAATTCATCTTGCCGGTCGTTCGGCGAAAAGATTGATAGTCGTGGTCGACAAGGTGACAACCATGGTAGACAAGTGTTTCACCCAGTCGTCCGGGTGGTCGTCCGGCCGGTCATCTGGCCAGTTGTCTAGCAAACACCCATTTGGGCCATTCGAGCCCCTCCCTTTTTGAGCTACGAGGCATTTTTCTTAAGATTATTTAATTTTATTTGTCTTTTAAAAACAATTTCTCAGGTTTATATATAGTGGGGTGATCACTTAATTCTTCAAATTTGTTTTAAAAAAAATAGAGGGGGGGAGAATGTATAATATGAAAAAATTTAATAACTAATGCTACTTTATTAAGTTTTTGTCTTGGAATGTATCTTTTAATTTTGTTTATCTATCTTGTTGAAGCTTGTCTTGGATAGAAAATAGAACTAATGGAAGTTAAAAACATATTGTGCTAAAGTTGAGTGGTCTGATAGTCTTACATTCTTTAAACCTTTTTTTGGTCTGTGCTTTAAATCTCAAGAACCCATGATGATATCTCATCAAATCCTGTGCATTGCCCATGATGCATTAGTTGGGAAACATTAGCAATTTTGGATTCTTTTGTTTTCTTAAAACATGCATTATTCCTGTGTGTGAGATTGCTGTTTAGTTGGGTCCAATTATGAGTAAGAGTCTACATACAAGAAATTTCAGAAATTAAGCTACAAACTTTTAAAATTGTACACGTTAGCATGATTGGGCTTACCTCTAGTAAAAATAATCAAGCTACTTTTGTGTTGACATTATACTCTTGACATTTTTTGTCTGTGATTTAATTAGTGTATGTCTGACTTGCCCACTTATTTAACAATTCATGTGAATTTCTTTTCTACTATTCAAGAAATATTTCATAACAATTGAGGCTTTAGACCGGGCAATAGTACTAGGGTACAAAAAGTGATCTTGTTGCCCAGATTCATCCTAGACTATGTGACCCACACACATTAGACATAAATTTGTGTGGATCACACTCTTCACATTATGTGAACTTTCTATGTCAAAATTTTTGTGTATGTATTTTCATTCGATTAGGGTGCATGGTGGAGGTGAAAAAGATAATGAATGTTTGGGAAGCATAAATTGTTTTTCTTGTTTTGTTAACAAAAACTTATAAAAGCAACCAAGATTGTGTTTCTCACATCCAAACCAAGCATTTAATAAACTTATTTTGACATGGGCCATATTCAATATTTTGATGGAACTTTTTAGAAACAACATTTGACTTAATTGTTTTCAACTGATGTTTGTGCTGTGTTTGCAGGCAATCCATGGACATGTACACAAACATGGCTCCACCCTCTGCTAGCTTCCTAGCGGGCACAACTATAAGCACCTCCTTCCTGACTTCACCACACCAGAGACCTCATGGTTCTGTGCCCAACTCTCCCCTCCCGAACCGCTCATATCTGAGGCAACTTTACACAAAGAACAAGTGCCTACCTTAAAGCCATCTATAATGTCATCTTCAACTTCCCAGCAGTGTTCGTATGCTCAATCTGTTTTTAATGGTGAAATTCAGTAGTTCTTTCTCTTAAATTTTTTTCCTGGTCAATTGTTGTGTATAATATTACATAATTTTTCTAGAAAGGCACACAAGGCATTGCATTCGTCTTGGATGACGCACATGCTCCATCGGATGAATGCAATGTAGCCGGCACTACATTTTATGCACTTTTCTATATATATATATGGTTTTAGCATTAAGGCAACTTAGTAGAAACCCCAAAACAAAACAAACCTTTGAGAAATTGCTTTCAGAGTTACTGTTATGTAAAATTTTCTGAAAAGCTGCACAGAGTATTGCATTCATCTTGGATGAGTCACACGCTCCACCGGGATAAGTGGAATGCTGCCAACGCTGCATTCTGTGCACTTTTCTGTTAACAATTTTTTTTTTTGGCATCAAGGCAACTGGGGAGGAACCCAAAAACAAACACACACCTTTGAGAAATTGCGTTCATAGTTTACTATTTATCAGGTTTGAATGTTCTATTCGCCAATATTTTGAAGTCCTCTTTTACCATCGAATGTAGCAATCAATGGTCTATGCGGTATAGGACTTCTTACAACTCCTTATGCACTCAAAGAAGGTGGGTGGTGGAGCCTCACAATTCTCATCATCCTTGGCATCATCACTTGCTACACCGGAGTTTTGTTGAAGCGATGCTTAGAAAGCTCCCCTGGTCTTGAAACTTACCCGGATATTGGGCAGGCTGCTTTTGGAGTCCCTGGTCGCGTATGCTTAGCAGTAAGCCTGATATCAATTTCAAAATTATCATAAAATTATTGATTTAAATTTCATTAGAAACAGAATTTTCAATTGTTGGGCTAATCTGACGCTTGGGTTTTGAATTTTGATTATTGCAGATAGCCTTATACATAGAGTTATATGTAAGTGCACCTTTATATCCCCCCACCTGTTTGATTAAATTTATCTTCTTTGTTTTGTTGCCAGGTTTACTAAAAAGTGTGTATCTCTTATCTGTAGTCGTCCTGCGTGGAGTACTTAATTATGATGAGTGATAATCTTTCAGCGTTGTTCTCAAATGCCCAGATAAATTTCAATGGAATCCACCTTGATTCTTATCAAATGTGCACAATCATATCTACTCTCTTCATTCTCCCAACTGTTTGGCTTCGAAACCTCAGCTTGCTTTCGTACATTTCAGGTATCCAATCCACGTTTACTTTCTTCTTTCCTTGCATTATTTGCAAGTTGCAAGTTCGCGCTACAGCTTTTTGTTTTTGTTTTTGTTTTTGTTTTCAGTTGGAGGAGTTTTTACTGCTGTGCTGGTGTCACTATGCTTGTTGTGGGTTGGGGTGGTCGATCAAGTTGGGTTTCACCCAATTGGACTACCTTTGAACCTTGCAAAGCTTCCTGTCACAATTGGTCTATTTGGTTTCTGTTTTGGATGCCATTCTATTTTTCCAAATATCTATTCTTCCATGAAGAAACCATCACAGTTTCCGTCTGTTCTAACAATCAGGTGATAATTTGCTCATGTGTGGGACTAGTTACATTGATGATCCCCGAAATATGCATTTTGTTATAGTTTATTCATCAATCTTTTGACTTTTTCAGTTTGGTTTCCAAACTACAATAAGTCAGTTAAAATTATATCCAACAAATTGATTAACGGGAAGAAGTATTTTTTAACTGTACTAGGGCCCAAAAATGCATACTTTGGGGGCCAATCTGATGCATCTGCTTTGATTATTTCATATCCCCTTTTCTTTTTGTAGAATTTTATATTTCTAATATCAATAAAAATTAAGGTTTTGTGGGATTCTATTATGGCTTCATGCAGGCGAGTTGTAGCCTGCAATCTGAACTGAGGATGGTTTTTACAGTTACCCTTTCATTATTTTTCGATTGAAGCTTCCCTCTTTACTTTTATATCTATTACAAAAATATCCCAACCTCTGTCAATCAATTTGGACGACAGGAGGAGACTAGACCCCATTTAAACTCACATTTAGTAGTTTGATACCCAAATTGATAAAATTAAAAGGTTAGGGACTACAGTGCAACAAAACGCCTACTTTATCATTAATATAATTAGTCCTTAAACCTGTTTTTGAACTTCTTGTTAAGGCAAGCTCATTGAAACTTTTCTACAAGCGTAACAAATCTTGCTGCATTGTGATGAATTTGAAACAACATAAATTGGTTCTAATAACACCATGAATGGAAGTTTACCAACATGAGAATTATGAGATTTTTCAACACTTCATTTATCAAAAGGACAGAAATTTTCATTAATTTGCCTAACATTTGTTTACTCTGCTACAGCTTTGTCACGTCTGGTGTTCTTTATGCTGCGGTTGCAATATGTGGCTTTCTGATGTTTGGTAACTCAACCAAATCCCAGTTCACGTTAAACATGCCCCCACAATTCATTGCTTCCAAAGTCGCAGCATGGACAACAGTATGAAAAACAAAAACAAAAATCATTCGCACCATATTTCATTGTGTTGAAATTTGAATTGCTGCTATATGTATTTGATCTGTTTCTGTTGTAGGTTGTCGCACCGGTCACGAAGTATGCCTTGACAATTACCCCTGTGGCATTCAGTCTCGAGGAGCTCTTGCCTTCAGCTCAGTCAAAGTCTCATGGTGTGTCAATACTCATCAGAACAATCTTAGTACTCTCAACTTTGGTTGTGGCATTGGCAGTTCCATACTTTGGTAAGGACTTCTTCCACTTCACATTATCTTTAATTCTAAAGGTTTTTTAAGTTCCACTACTATTTTGTCTTAAGAGAGCAATGAACGTTATAAGCCAATGGTATAGTACACATCCCTTGAAAATGGTGTGCATCATATGCAAGTTATACTGCATTTATGCTGCTGGTTTTGTTACTAAATGGTGTCAGTTATGATCCAAAGTGGTGGTTTGTTATCACCAAATGTGGTACGAAAGTTTCTAGGGTTAATTACAGTTAGCATCCTTACATTTTAACAAAAATCTCACTTTGACCCATTTACTTTTAATTGTAACATGCAACCCCTCACTCACACTTTAAGTCAAGTTGCTATGTCACATTTATGTTCATTATGGAACTTGTTATGTGAGCCATAAGTGACTTATCACCTCATTAGCACCTGTACACTTTCACCAAAATTTTACTTTAGTTCTTGCACTTTCACTGAAATCTCACTTTAATCCCTCCACTTTTAATTTCCGTCAACCTAACAGTAAGTAGATGAAGGATGGGATTACAACTTGACTTAAAGTGTGCAGGGTTGACTGTCACAATTAAAAGTGAAGGAGCCAAAATGAGATTTTGGTTCCAAGTTCTTAAATTGGGGAGAGAGGAGAAATGTCTTGTCTGCTAAGCTTTTGTTTTGTGAATTTGATTGCAGGTTCGGTGATGGCCTTCATTGGATCTTTGCTTGTTATGCTTGTAGTAAGTATCTCATCATATTCACACCTCAATCCACTGTTGAGTCAATGATGCAGTAAATACACAACAATGCTATATACCAAAATAAAAATACCTAAAAATGTGATTAGAATTGAATGTATAGATCAGATCTATTCTGGGTATGACCCATACCACACCAATTTTAAACCTACACTTTAAATTTAGGTTTTGAACATACTTTTTTAGGTAAAATATTTTTTTTCTGGGCATGTAGCATTTTTGGTAAGTAAAATATACCATGGAGTAATTTCAATGCTTGATTTTCAATTATAGGCTCTAATTTTCCCATGCGCTTGCTATCTTAGCATTTGTCAGGATAGATTGACAAAGCTGCAGGTGAACATTTTTTATTCTCTCTCTCTCTCTCTCTCTCTCTGTGTGTTTGTGTGTGTGTGAGTGTGTGTGGAATCTTTGTTAGTGACAAAGTTTGATAATTTTGATCTTGTTTTTCCAAATGCAGATTTCAACTTGCATACTTATAATGGTGGTAGGGGTGATTTGTGCAATTGTTGGCACATACTCAGCAATTATAAGCATGGTTGAGGAGAGGGGATGATCAAATTTTAGTCCAAGTCTTAACTCTGCTTCACATGTCTGTTCTTGTAACCCATCAAATCCATGTGTAAGTGTAAGCACTCCAATACACTTGCCAAACCATACAAACGAATTTAGGAGGGAAATTTAATGGAACAAATTGATATTGTTGCGAGGAAAATGACATAAGTACATAAAATGAATCTCAATCATATATTTTTTTTTAACGTCAAAAAATCTGTCCCCGACACTTGTATTTTAATTGGTACAAATTTGTTTTTCTTTCAACTGTGGAGACCATGTTTTGTATTTATTTTACAATAGAGCTTGCGAGAATATGATTGCAATGATTTGTTCTCTCTTATTATACATGAAAAAATAATTAAGCCTGTTTGATATTATTTTCAATTTGGAAAAGGTTATTTATCATGACTCTTTGCCCCAAAAAATATCTTGAAAGTATGATGGCTGGTGTAAATTTATCGGAGAGTGAGAAAAGAAAAGAATTAATTGTAGAGAAGAAAAGAACTCATTATGTTTTCTCCATATTATGATTGGATGTGTAAGTAAGCAAACATATTACAGAGGGATATGAGTGAGATGATTTTCTTCTCTTGTAATTTAACGTAGGGTGAATTATACTTTTAATTTGTATAGTTTGATTTAAATTTCACTTTAAACACTATTGTTTAAAATTGAATAATTTGGTTTATATACATTACATCTAGTATTAATTTGGTCCTTTTGTTCAAGTCGGACATTAAAATTAATGATTTTGGGACACTTGTCAGTTTCTTGGGATGTGCATATAAAAAAAATTAATGGAAATTTTTATGAAAGGATAAAATTGAAAGAGGCCTAAATTGTTCAAATTAAAATAATAAGGGTCAAAATGAAATATAAGCCAAACTATGTGAGTGAAAAGTGTAATTTACCTTTTTAACTCATGATATAGTAGTCACACCTTAGGGTGCGGTGACCGGAAGATTAAGGGTTCGAACTGATGGAGCAACGGCAAAAGGTTTTAGTTGTAATCTAATTATACTAATATACTAACACTATCTTTGTAAAAGAAAAATTATGATGGTAGACAACCCATTTTTGACCGCTCTTAAGACTTGGGTGCCACCGATTGATCACCCAATAATGAATTTTTACGCTTGACAAATGCTCAATTTCCTTAGCAGGAAGCCTCGGTTTTGAGCCTCAGAAACCTTCAAACCACACATTCTCCAACTCTAAATCAAAGTTGTTTTTACATTATAAAAAATGAAAAGAAATATCAAAGCAGTAAAACTAGGGGCACAGCTGAGTCAGGTATCTCTATGCCTTCTGCTTGTACTCGTGGAAGTTTCTGTAGCTAAAGATGGCCCAACTTGTTCTTCATCCTCAAGCTAAGCCAAGCACTCGCTAGAAAGGGCGTTACTGAAGCTAGGGGCAAGGGCCAGAAGCTCCCTCATCCTCCAAGCAGTGAGGTACCGAATCAAGTGTGAACCACGAATGAGAAATGGAGCCAGATATTCCACTTCCTTATCTGGATGTGTCTGATCACGCCTAAACTGGCGTCTGAACCTAAAAGGGAGATAGAACACGCAGTGTATGAGGCCAATCAATTGCATACCCGATTGACGAGACATGCTGTATCTCATCTCAGTCAAATAAAGCCAGGGGCAACGCCAAGCTATGTTAGCCACAGATCTGCTGCACATCCGGTCACACCACAACCCCTCTGAAGGGAAATCCACTAGCCGTTGGCGAAAGAAGTAAGCTCGAGTTGAGTACTCGGGGCAAGGGTCCACCACTTTTAGCTTGTCCATCAACCATACTTGGGAAGGGATGAAAAGTAAGAGAGATTAAAGAATAAAGAGATGTACGTTGAGAGAAAAATAAGAAAGGGCTTTAAGAGAAAAAAGAGAGTGAGTGCCGAGTGTTATAAGAAATCATAAATAAGAAAGGGTGGAAAATAATACCTGAAGAAGCAGTGGGCTCCCTGCAAATTGAGTGGTCTCTCGCCAATAGAAAGTGTCTAAACCCATCAATGTCTCGGCCAGTGCCAAACCCATGCAACTCTTGCCCTCTTTCAAACATTGGGCTACTTCGATTAACCTAATGTTGGCTCCATAGTAACTAGGGACAAGAAGGAAGTGTGCAAGTAAGCATAAGCAGAGGACATGTTGGTAGTAGCCTCGCCAGAGAAGGTCACTCTTGTCTCCAATGGCAGAAAACTGATGCACCAAACCAGGAATGTCCAATTCCCCATCATGAGCCAAAGACCGAGCCTTATGTAACATAAGCCCACACATCCATTCCAAAGCCTGGGCATGGCCAAAACGAGGCTGAGGCATAATTTCTTCGCCGCGCCGAGATTCCATCAATGCTTGAAATTCTTCGAGTGTTGGACATATTTTTTGTGATCCGAAGTGGAACACATGCGTAACTGGGTTCCAGTATCGAGTAGCAGCATGGAGAAACAAAAAACAAAGTGGGGTGCGGCTCAAAGGGAAAAGAGCGTTTAGGCCGAAACTGCGAAAATTTACCTTTTTCGAGCCGTCTAAAGTGGTTATCCAGTCTTGGAGCCTATTATTGAGAATGATGTCCATTTTGAGAGAAAAATACCAAAGACTTGCTATTTTGATGAGAAAACAGCTTGGGAGCACCTTTTATAGACTTTGAGAAATAGTATATGACAGCTGGATCCCATTGGCCGACATCACTTTTAGAGCCGGTTGGCTCTCATTGGACTCCGACTGTGCCTATTTGGAGCCAGCCGGCTCTCAATGAGTGCCCAAATTAAAGCAGTTACAGGGAGGACAGGTTCTCACCTTGGCGCACCGGAGCTGTGTTTTACGTTTTGTCTTGTTTGTATCAAGTGTTGTTTAGTGTTTTTCCGTTGTTTTCATTTTGTTTTTCTGTCATCGAGTTGTATTTTGTATTTTGACCAGTTGTAAGTTGTTATCCGATTCAAGAATTAATTCAAGAGCAAGTTTACACAGTTATAAGGCCTTGTACAAGATTATCATGCAACGGTTGTGCCATACAGTCATCGCATGCTATGCAATACAAGAGAAGTCATTCAAAATTTTCTTTTCATAACTTCCGAGTCCAAACCCGATCATTGTCTCATACAAGAAAAAACAAAAGAGAAGTTTTCAAAAACAAAATACAAGGGTCTACTTGAAGCTAGTTCCTAAATACAAAGCAAAAGAAAAGAAAAGAAAAGTAAGTCATCAACCCATCCTCGCCCTCTTCGTCCTCGGCTGCGCAGGAGGTGCGTCGCTGTCGTCACTGGGGCTACTGGACTGCATGTCGACCTCATCTCACTCATCCTCAAGGGTCGTATACTCGCCAAAGGACTCCTTAGAAGGCGAGCGCTGCCTTGCTTTGCCTCTCCCCCAGTCAGCCCATCCTCTGCCTCTCACTGAGGCCCCGTCTCCTTTTCTCCCAGCTAGAGGAGGTCCTGTAGGTGCAGCTGGCGCCAGCTCAAGAAGAAAACAGCACCAATATTAGTATAGACTCAACAGAATGGTAGACAAGATTGCAGCAAAAGTGAACTATAAACAGAGTATACCTCAATCCTGTGAGTAGCCAGAGCAGTCTGTCACTTCCACATTATGAGAAGTAGTCGGTCGATCTTTCAGAGGAAGTCATCTACGTACACTGCGGGTACTTGCAAAAGGAAAAGAATTTGAGAACAGTGGACAAAAATAATAGGGTACAGTGAACAAAAATAGCCAAGGACAGGAAAAATAAAGTGCAGTGGGTACCTGCTCGATGCCGGGAGCAATCACCAGTCTACGATCCCTCTCATCGATATGCTCAAGGGAGATCTCCTCAATCACCCAATTTGGTCGTATGTATATGACCTCAATAGGAATTGCAAGAAGCCCAGGAATGGGAGCGGCAACAGGGGCACCTCTAACAGCAGTGGCGGTAGCCTCGAGAAATGCGCGGGCTACACCTCAAGTAAGAAGAGCCATCACCCGAGTCTATAAGAATGGAGTAAAATTGCTGGCCTCGTGGTGTCTGTCACCGTCCTCTCCCTATATTAGGTGATCTATCAAAGGCTCATCGTGAAGATCATCGACAATCCTCATGTCGAGAGGAGGGAGATATGAAACATCGGGATCAGTCTGGCGGATGAATCGCTCCTCCAAATAGTATGCCCTGCCGAAAGGGCCCATGAAAAGGATCCGCATGGTAGAGACCTGTCGTGCAGCAACATAAAATCACCCTCGAAGCCTGAGGGATGCCCGCCCAAGGGTGCCAGTCAACCTGTGGACAGAACAGAATATGCAAAGCAAGTGGCCGATGTCAAAGGTCTAAGTAGTATGGAGAAACAGTGCAGTGTGGGTCCAAACAGTGTGGAAACAGTGTAGTATACACATAATATGGTGAAAGTTTAAGGTTTGTGTTGTTACCTGATTTGCGATGATGGTATCGAAGAAGTGGAGTTAAAGGTTTATGTTGTTACCTGAACTGCGATGATGGTGTCGAAGAAGTGGCTGAAATAAGGGAAATCCCAACCTGCACACCGACAACGCTCAAATTGAGAGTAGTAGTACCGAGAGCAGGGTACCGACAACTCAAGTGGTCGTACTGGGATCGGAGCAAGGGCGGTGAAATATGTGTAAACCCATAGCTACAAGAAAGTAGATAAGCAATTATGAACAGAGCAGTGAAATAGATAAGATAAACAGGGAATGAAAAGCAAAACAAAAAGAAGAAGAGTGAGGTGTAGCTCCCAAACTCGCCAATAGCCTCCAAGTAAGTCTACCTTGCGGCGGGATGCTCATATAGCAGTACAGAGCGGCCTGGCCGACGCCACCCCAGTCATACTCCTTTACCCGCTGTAGATGCACCAATGCTCCCAAGAGATATAGCCCAATGGTATTTTCCCTGTTTGTAAACAGGGTAGTATCGAGGAGGTACATAAGAAATCCGCAAGCGTACTGGGAGTAGGAATGGCAACGAGCAGGGGTAGGGCCGGGGATTGCACTCCCCGTCCCCGATTCCTGAAGGTGAAAAAATTTCCGTCCCCACCCCCGATCCCCTGCGGGGAACCCACCACCCCCGCCCCCGCACGGGGATCAGGTTTCCCCGACCACGAAATATCCCCAATCCCTTTTTTTTTTTAATTTTAATTTTGTTCAACATAACATA